AGCAGGGAATTGATTGGTTCAATAAATATTTACCTTGACAGCGAGGGCATTCTCGCAGCGATACGAGGAAGAAAAGGAGAAGACAGAAGAGCTCGGTCGGTGGGAGAGCACCTCCTACCTTTGTCGCCTAGACGAGACGTTCGCACAGTGAAAATGCTATCAGAAGCCAGTTTTACCCCTCATCATGTGGCTTTGGTCTTCATGAAGTGGTCGTAACTCCGGGTGCACACCTAGGTGCAAATAGGTGACATTTATATGGCGTCCGCGATCTTCCAGAAATTTCGCGCGACTCCGGCGGCGAGTCCTCGTTTGAATCACTAGAGCCTTGGAGGTGGTGGCTCCGGTTTTTCTGAGCGACTGGGATGTCAGGCTTGCCTCCCCTCTGTTGAAAAGCTCTAAGCCGGAAGATCATGAAAGTTAACTTCTAGGCATAACTTACTGAAGACCGCCTCGAGTCGTGCAAAGGACGAAAGGTAGAGGGTTGTCTGAAAATATATCGAGTGCAGAAGGAACAGAAATGCCCATCTGGTTTCTTCCCGTACATTGCAAACCATAAGCTTACCACATTTCAGCTTTGAGAGTCTTTCAGCATGGTCTGTGATGTGATAGTGCCCCCTCTCCGACCAGAAACGGAAGTGTCGAGAGGAGGGATCATGTCTATTTCGAGACCGATATCATAGTTCCACCCGACCATAACGAGTTTTATGGTTGGACCTGGTTTTTCCCGCAATGCCGAAGTCTTGCTGAAATGACGCCCTGCCGTTGATATGCGCTTCACATGCCACTGGCCTCAACGGGTTGGTCTAAGCTGACCAGCAACGAGTGACGCGGCCTGGCTTGAGACACTCCCTGGTTTTCCAACCAAGGATGCGAAAATCAGGAATGCGCTCCATCCGTTCTCAAAACAGGATTTTTTTTAATGGTCGAATGCAGGAGCGAGCCTTGTCCGGATGGTGTCTCCACCGGGGTTCTCGGATGCCTGCTTACGTATAGTAAGATCGGTATCAAGATATTTCGACAGATTCTCAACCTCTGGTTACGGGAATCTTCGGGTATTGAAATGGCAAGGCTGAGAACGTCAGGAACAGCCCTGAGCTATGCGTTCGCTGTAAATTTACAAATCTGCATGCTTGACAACTGCCAGTGCATCCTTGAGACTTATATTTCTGTCGGCAGTTGTGGACACCGCCCGAGAAAGTTCGAGCAGAAGATCAAGGCCATGGGATTCTGCATCGCGTCGAGACAGGTATGCCAGTATATATCGCAGACATTTGGAAGAGCATTTTCTGCTTCAAAGCGTTTTGGCCGTTCAAAGAGCGCTGTGCAGTAGATGGGAATTGTGCGAACATCGATTGCCCTTCCTGACGGATGTTGGAAAGGGGATTCAGAGGGGCTCTTGCGATATAAAGTAAACCTGCTGAGAAGGTCAGCGTTAGACATGCTTTCGCCACCATTTCTGTGCAAGAGTTCGTCCATCGTCTCCAACACAGGGACACAACCAGAACACCACCCACAACTGCTATCCTGCTCTTTGACGTGAAGAGGGACTATCGGCGAATGGTCCAGACCTACCTCGTAGTTGTCCCAGGACTTGCTCACGACATCAGACCACCTGCCACACACCCGAACCCTTTAACACATTTCGTCTAGTTTACCGTTTGCGTTTGGTGCCCTACGTGGAGTTGCCAGCACTTCGTTCTTCATCTCGCAGATAAGCCAGCAATTTGCAATAGTCAAAGATCTGACCTTGTGGGGATTCCGCAATGCTTCGAAATGCTTAGGACAGCTTAGTTCAGTTAGACATGTGCCCCGAAAGCTCCGTCCTTAAGCCAAGAACTGATAAGCATCTTCCCCATGATTGGCTGCATTTCCCCAGCCTTCAACTGAACTCTGCTTTGGCCCGATATCCCATTTTCATCTCTTCAATTGCTTGCAAACCCCATCGCGTATCGCTTTGCTGGGGATCATGGATGATAAGCAGGCGAATACCTGTGACCTATCATTTGGACCAGAACACGACTGCCAGCGCCACGTTGTGCCTGCAGCGGTCGCTAAGGCGGAGACATCCCTTACTAATTCAAGCTGGTTGTGCACCAGAGGGAATATGGCATCTCCTGGCGAATCATGGCATGTTGCTGGGACTGATATCGCTTGAATCCCGGCCTAGGGCCTCTCTAGGTAGAGCATGTATGTCGCATGGGGTGGTGCGAGAGCTGGAGAGTTCGCCTTTTCTTTTTCGTCGCGTGCGTCGCTGGCGGTCTTTTAAGCCTTCACTCCTGCCCCTGCTTGCCTGTCCAACGCGTTTCCCGTGCTCTTCTCTCCTCCCATCAACTTGACAGGGCCGACAATCAAGATCGCGCCTTCCGGACGCGGTCCTACCTCTGCTGAACCACCACCAACAGTGTACCGAATCCTTCGGCCTCGATGTCGCCCGGTCACGCAGCCAGCTATCGGGCCCAGCGTCGCTGGGACGCCGACACACTCGTTGCGCCTGACTGGCTCAACAATGGCGACAATGCGTGGCAGTTGACGGCAGCTACACTTGTCGGACTCCAATCTGTCCCGGGCCTGATGGTCATGTACGCTGGGTTGGTGAAAAAGAAGTGGGCCATAAATTCGGCATTCATGGTCCTTTACGCTTTTGCAGCCGTCCTCATTTGCTGGGTGGTATACGCATACCGAGCAGCTTTTGGCAAGCAGATGTTGCCATTCGTCGGAGTGCCAGGGCCAGCCGTCGAGATGAACTACGAATTGAAGCAGGCTTTCTTGCCAGAGGCCGGTCTCTCTGCAGCATATCCCATGAGCACCATGGTCTATTTCCAGTTCGTCTTCGCGGCCATTACACTTGTTCTTATTGCAGGCGCAGCCCTGGCAAGAATGAACTTCCTGGCCTGGATGGTCTTTGTGCCACTTTGGTTGACTCTGAGCTACACTGTGGGCGCATTCAGTATCTGGGGGGGCGGCTTCTTGTTCGACCTTGGCGTGCTGGATTATTCTGGAGGATACGTCATTCATGTTTCCTCTGGAACAGCTGGTTGGGTCCTAGCATATTGGGTCGGCCCTCGACATCCTCGCGATCGCACTGAATTTCACCCTAACAACGTTCTGTTGGCGCTGGTAGGCGTTGGACTGCTCTGGCTTGGTTGGAACGGATTCAACGGTGGTGATCCTTACACTGCTTCACCCGATGCGGGTGCTGCCGTGCTCAATACCAATGTGTGCACGGCAATGAGCATGTTGACTTGGACTATCATGGACCTTATCTTTTTCAAAAAGCCTGCTGTCATTGGAGCCATTCAAGGCATTATTACTGGTCTTGTCGCAATCACTCCCGCCGCCGGGTTTGTCGCAGGATGGGGCGCTATTATCATTGGCTTTTTCTCTGGTGTCATTCCGTGGATGTCAATGAACATCCTGGGCAAGCAAAGGTGGTTCCTCGAATTCTCTGATGATGTAGTGGGAGATTTCCACACACATTTGGTTGGTGGTATCGTTGGAGGATTCTTGACTGGCCTGTTTGCTACCAGTGAAGGCACTGCCGCCTTCGCCCTGGCTCCATCAGGTGGTGCAATTGATGGAAATGGACGACAAGTCTGGGTTCAAATTGTTGGCTTCCTCTTCGTCATTGGATGGAATCTCTTCTGGACCAGCGCCATTTGCCTATTCATCAAATACGTCATGAGAATCCCTTTGAGATACAACGAGGACCAACTGCTCATTGGCGATGGTGAAGTTCATGGCGAGCTCCCGTACGCCTTCTTTCATGATGGAAGACATGTAAGACCTCTTTTTGCGATACAATATCATGCGTTTGCTAATTTCTGAAACAGGAATATGACGCCCATTATGGCAAGCCCCATGAGGACGTGGAGAAGCGTGCCGGAGTACTGCAGGGAGTGGACGCGGCGGGACACATCGACAGCTCGGAGGCAGAAGCGGCAAGTGGGAGCGGCAGCGCCAGTGGTAATGGGACACACAAAGCGACCAAACAGGCATAGATGGACACTATTGAAGTCTTCTTTCCCTGCCAGAGAGCTTTATCGGCATAATAAGTAAGGAGGGACTTGGTGTGAGGTGCCGCCTCAAGGGAGCAGTGTCATTTCTCATCTTCATCATCTTCTTGAACTTGAGCAGGCGGTTTTAAATAAGTCTTCAGGATTTCAACCCCGTTAGCAGAAGCATAAACCAAATACATTGGGACTGTTTGAGATCTTCCCACCACATCAAATCATTACTGCTTTCTCATAGCATGTTTGGATTGTATAGTGCTTCCTGCATTCACTGAGAGAGCCAGGCCTACGGGTTTGCCGAAGGCACGTATCATAAGTATGGAAGGTCATTGGAGCGGAAAAAGAAGTAACAAAGGTATGTGATATCAATGAAAGTGAAAGTGAGGCTTTAGTAAATTGTCAACCACTTTCCGCGTCAGGTCGTATGCGGAATTACACCTGTCTGACAAGAGCAATGCACCACGGAACCGTCGAGATGTGTCCGTCAGACCAAATATGATCATCTCAGATTACGGTCTTTGACTTGGCCACCGGCAGGTAGTAACTTCCATAACTTTTACTTGCACCATTGTCTTTCCCCTGCTCCCCACTTTGACACCTTCTTGCGCCTTCAAACCATCGTCATATGAAATCAACCTCATCCTGTTTCCATGTTTCCTGTGGTACTGTTCCTTCTCCCCAGATGATCCCGAGCCCGGCGGCTTCAGCGTCTTCCCTTTCGTTCTCATCCATCCTATCTACCTAGGTGTCTTCGCACCTTTCCTCCATTTCACATTTTCGTCAACTCCTCCAGATCACTATGGCATCAGACACGACATATCGCTTCGGTAAGTTCCATCTATCTGCTCACAACCTCTTGCAGCGTCGAGCTAGCATAAATTGAGTTGCCAAAGCTGCCAAATCAAATGGAATTAGCCACTCCCTGGAACTTTGTGCTCTTCCTCAGCTTTCTTAATGTGATGTCACTAAGCTGCTGACATAACTGCAGAAATGGCGAAAACCGGTCGTGCGGGTTGTCAGAACACGGCATGCAAGAAAGCAGGAGTTAAGATTCAAAAGGGCGAATTTAGGATGGGGACTCTCGTGACTATCAATGAGCACACATCATGGATGTGGAAGCATTGGTAAGCTTTACCTACGTACTTCGACGTCGTTCATGTCTCAATATTGTAACCTAGGGGATGCGTCACTCCTGCTCAAATCAAGAAGCTCCAAGATCAAGTCGGGCCGCTTGAGGACTTGGACGAGCTCGATACCGACCTTGATCGCATTATCGATGGCTACGACGAGATTGACGACGAATCGCGTGAAAAGATCAAGTTTGCATTGGAGCATGGCCATGTCGCCGATGAAGACTGGAATGGTGTAAGCAGCCGTCTCGCCCAATTATGCATTGCCACTTTCACTGACGGCTTCAATCTAGGAACCTGAATTTAACCGTCCAGGAATGAAAGGCATCAACAGACGCACTCCGAAGAAGAAGAAAGCTGCGGATGGTGAAGACGTTGCTGCAGAGAATGAGCAGACTCGTTCAAAGCCCAAAGCGAAGCGAGGACGAGGTAAGAAAGCCACGGATAAATCAGAGGATGAAGAAGGCATGCCCGTGTCGCCGGCAGCCAGGAAGAAAGCCGCACGTCGCAAAATCAAAGATGAAGATGAAGACGGCCAGCCTAACGAGTCGGGGCTTCCAAAGGGGGCCGGAGGGAGGAAACGCAAAGTCTCTGTGAAGGGGGAAGATAGTGAAGAAGAAGCAGCTCAGAAACCGGTCAAGAGGTCACACGCCAAGAAGGTAGAGGCTGAGGAAAGAGAGGTGGAACTGGTGGAGCCGGTCAAGCGAGAGAAACCGCGAAGGACAACGAAAGCATCTCGGGATGCCGATAAAGGTGATGAAGATGTTAAGCTATACATTCAACAGAGCGACGATGGCGTCAAGGCTCCCACCCAAAAAAGCCAAGTCACCGCCAAACGTGAACGAACCAAGCCTGGTCGCAAAGGAAAAGCTGCTCAGCATGAAGAGCCTCGGGATGCAGATGAAGATGCGGACCACGCTCCGATCAAAGCTCAGACAAGACCCGATGCAGATGTCGAGACAGAGGATGAGGACCACGCTGATAACACCCCCACTGCGATCCCAGAAGGCTACATCGGTGCTCTTCGTCAAGATGATCTGAATGCTGGTCGAACAACCATGGCAGCGGCGGATACCACCATGGAAGAAGGCGATCTCGGCAAAGGCCAAGCAGAAGCTGCGCAGCATGCAGAAGAAATCAAGGGAAAGACCACCAAAGGCACCAAAGGCAAAACCGGCAGAGCCAAGAAGACCGCTAAGGGTCGAGCCAAATGAACGAAAACCCCCGAACGAGCGGTCCTCTACTACAGTTTCCCTACTTTGATTCGACGGCTCATATTGCTTACAATATGCTCCCAAGTGAGTGGAAATGGAGGAGAATATGTTCCTGTACGCGCACGCGGGGGAAGAGGGAAAGGAAGAGGAGGGTCGCAGGGGAAGGAAAGGGAGATAGAAGTCGGAGTGTGTCACAATTGCCAGGCCAACGATCCTGTACCACCAAGGCTGCCGAAAACCATTTCTTATGTTCTACTAGCTACAACTCGGGTTGCTGTGGCGCGAATGGTCTTGAGCTTTGTATTGTCCGTCCAATTCTTCAACGCTTTGCGAGAGAGTCAGCGCACAATGATATCCTGTACTATTAGTCAATGTGTTGGTCTGTAGCTGAGCGAGAAGAAAATTTCGTAATCACTCAGAACTTGAAAAAGGTCAATGGAGAGTTGAAGTTCCTTTCTTCGCAAGAACCATATGATAGAGTCCTGATGTTCATACAATGTTTCTACCCTGGCGGCCTTGTTGCCCTTGCCGAGATAATGTCCCACCAAGCATGTCGTTCCATACCCGTACAGACAAATCCACAAGTCTGAAGACAACGCCAGTCAGGACCTCCTCTACCACTGCATTTGTCTGACAGAATTTCAATGCTTGCATGCCCTGTATCCCGCCGATAAGACCTCAAAACTCCCTGCTCTCACCAATGTCACAAACATCAAACAAACCCGTCTCTTCCATTTTATGGTGTTTCAATGCTTCCTTCAACAGCCTAGGTGGTTCTAGGACATCCTCCTCGGTCAGGACCCATGTGCCCCAGTGTATGCCCAACGCCCTCTTGCATTTTATATCTCTGAATATCTCCACTGCATCACGGGGATTGGCGTGCATGGGACTCATGATCCACCGTGGCATATATGCCCCTATTGGAATCAGTCCCAAATCAAATGGTCCTCTTAAACGACCAATATCTGCGAATGCCGGGCAGTGAGGTAACTCTGAATATTCCTGTGACCAGTCGTCTTTTCCATCGGAGGACTTGGGGACGGAGCGATAGCCGGTGTCGCCGCCAAAATAAACCGATTTGGAGCCCGAAGATACGGACCACGATGCCCAGAGGGTGGCAGCGCGGTCGTGGATTGAGCGCGCCGAAATGTGTTGACACGGCAGGCAGGAGATGCGAGCTGTTATCGTGTCCGCGGATTCGGGTGGACTTGGCTCATCGGTGAAGGATACGCTTGCGCTCTTTGTCTCTATGGATGTTGAAGACACGGGCAACAATGTGAAGTCTACTTCTTCCCACCAGTCCAATTCAGTACATTTCTCAATACCGCTTGCCGAGAACCATTTCTTGTTTCCTAGAGGGACGAAGAAGTGGCATTCCGGATGGTGTTTTGCTATCTCCAAGATTGTAGGGTGCGAGAGGTGATCGTAGTGGTTGTGCGAGATGACGACGGCGTCAATGAGCGGGATATCTTTTATTTGACAGGGCATCTCAGTGTATCTCTTAGGACCCAACCAAGAAAAAGGCGAACAGCGGTCCGTAAAGACTGGGTCGAAAAGGACGCGCAGGCCGGACGGAAATTCGACGTAGAAGCAGGCGTGCCCGAGCCATGTTGCTCTAAGAGAGTCGGGAGACTTTGCTCTGCGCGAAGGAAGGAAAGTCGGGGGGTGAACAGGGACGGTCGGAGGAGTCGTGTTAGGTTTATTCGCCTTGCCAGTCAATCTCCTGTGGATGAGACCCCAGAGCAGAGTTGGCAGAGAGTGCATCTGCCATGATGGCCATGGATTGTCGAAACCGCCGCTCTTGACGTGCCATGCTTTGGTCTTTGTAATCTCGTCATCAGGTTTAGACGACGCTGTGGAGGGAATGGCGATAGTGGCTGCATACAGCAGAGCCGCCGTGGAGGACGTCATGGTGTGGAAGAGAGGTGGATGTCTCGAAGTAGGGGCTCTGGAAGGTGCGCGTTTGCTGAACAACAGCCGGAAGAAGGAGCGCATGGAGGGAGGGAGGGACTATATCAAGCGAGCCGGGGCGAACAAGGTATCCTGCTGCCTAGAGGAACCAAGACGCATACTCGAAGTTTGCGATTCATAGTGCCGATAATGTTTGAATCGTCCATGCAGGCAGGGAACATTGGGTGGCATTAAGTCCGAGTCGGCCGAAGGTCAATGTTGGTGACGTCGGGAAGGGTAAAATCTCACTCCGACAGCGTAGCACCGGCAACAGCAATGAACACATCGTTTTTTCTCACCACAGTTCTCGTGTGTCCTCATCGCTTGTGTTGAAGAGGGAATGCAGAGCGACAATGGACTGGTCAAGGTCGCCTCAAACACGTCCCTCGCAACTCCGACTTTGAATGATGCCGTTTCCCAGAAAGCCGACCTTGTGCGTCAATTCGCAACCACAAGCAATTCTACAGATGGCGGGCTGATCGCGCAGTTGATCAACAACCCCTTCTTCACAGCCGTAGGTAGCTGTCATCCGCTCATCAAAGAGGCTTCTAACAGTCTGTCAGGGTTTTGGACTCGCTGGTCTCGGTACAATCTTCGCCTTCGGTCGAAGAGGCTTTCGCCATGGGGCAGGCCTCCTGCGACGCCGTCTTCTCGTCGATGTCGAGATTAGTGTTCGGGACGACTCCTACCCCTGGTTCCTCTACTGGATGACATTGCATGAACGAGGGCGACTCGCGGACAAGGCGTTGCAGGCTAAAACAGGTGCTCTAGAGCTGCTGCTTCAGCGGCTCACTCCAGGCATGCGCCATCTGGCGATTGAGACGGAGAAAAGAGAATTGCCCAATGGCGCTATTCACACAAATTTCGTCTTGATCCCTGGTCCGGGCAGGCATGTGATTCGCTATAGGAAGGCATGGATAATGGTCAACCGCCAAAGAGAGTCAAAGCAGTTCTCCATGGATGGGAAACCGTGGGAAACCGTCACCCTCACCACGCTATATTCTCAACGACACGTTTTTGAGTCGCTGTTCAAAGAGGCTCATGATATCGCCACCCAGTCCGTCGAAGGGAAAACTGTCATATACTCCGCATGGGGCACAAAGTGGGATAAATTTGGCCACCCTCGTAGCAAGCGGCCTCTTGAGTCCGTTATTCTCGATAAGGGCGTCAAAGAACGCATTGTTGCAGATGTCCAGGACTTTCTGTCTTCAGCCAAATGGTACTACGAACGAGGAATCCCTTACCGGAGAGGCTATCTCCTCTATGGTCCACCGGGAACGGGAAAATCGTCCTTCATTCAGGCCCTCGCTGGCCATTTAAACTACGACATCGCTATGCTCAATCTCAGTGAGCGCGGTCTTACAGACGACAGATTGAACCACCTCTTGACAGTCATTCCCCAACGCACACTGGTCCTCCTCGAGGACGTTGATGCGGCATTTGCAAACCGCCGTCAAGTCGAAGCAGATGGATACCAAGGGGCCAATGTGACTTTTTCGGGACTGTTGAACGCTTTGGATGGCGTGGGCAGTGCGGAAGAACGTATCATCTTTCTGACGACCAATCACGTCGATCGCTTGGACGAAGCACTTGTGCGACCTGGTCGAGTTGACATGACGGTTCGACTTGGAGAGGCTACGACGTACCAGATCGAGCAACTCTGGGCGCGGTTCTACAGCGATGCCGATCCAGATGGAAAATATAGGCTGGAATTCTTTGATAAACTCCGTGAAATAGGAGTTTTGCCTCATGGGTCTGCGAGAAGCAGCCGGACAAGCATGGCGGCTCTGCAGGGGCTGTTTTTGTACAACAAAGGACGGCCCCGTGGAGCCATTGATATGGCATGGCAGCTGGCCCCAGGCGAGCTGCCTAGTGCTTTGAATAAAGACAGTCAGGCTCATGCAACTGCCTCTTGATCGATCTACAGGCATTCAGCATGCTGGAGATCTGTACGCTAGCCGGTAAGGCTGGTATCACCAATCAGCACCATGTATTTATTATACTGTATCTATTCTCTAAAGTGGCTGTGCAAATGCCCCATGCACTCAGTCAGCCTTGGCCTAGGGGCGCCTTGGCGGTCCTCAGCTGAACCGTTCCATTCCTCGCTCTTCTCCTTCCCCTTGTTAAGTACTTATTAAAATTGCTCTTTTCCTCTGGGATGGTACTCGAGGCTCATGTTTGTCCGTCGAAATCTTCTTATTGTCGAGCGTACCCTCAGACTGAGCATGTGGAAGATGTGGTATGAAAAGCGCATGACCCCATGATCCCTGAGTCAGCATCTCTGTTAACTGGATCCTGTATATTTCGACCAGTGGCCAGGACTTCAACACAATGACCGACCCGTTTTCGATTGTCACTGGGGTTGCTGGTCTTCTCTCCCTAGCCGGCGCCGTCATCAGCCAATGTTATTGCTATGGCTGTGCGGTGGCTGAGGCTCCGGATGAAGCAAGGCGACTGGTGTCCGAAGTCACCAGCCTGAATGGCATCTTATTAGGTGTACAGGGACTGGCTGCCCAAATGGAAATGCCAGAATACCAACTAGAGTCGGCACTGAAGAACTGCAAGCTTGTGCTAGAAAGTGTGTCCACGAAATTGCACAGGTTCTCCCCTGGGTCAAGCAAATCGCCAGGTAAACGCGCAATCAATCGCCTGCTCTGGCCACTCCGTAAGAACGAGACTCAGGAACTCATCACAGCCATCGAGAGACACAAAAACTCATTGTCCCTCTCTCTGAACTCGCTTTCAGTGTAAGTCCAAACGTACTCACTGCGCAGAAAACGTTACTCAGGAGAAAAACAGGGAGGCACTTATGAGCCAGAGTGCTACTCTGGAGACAGTCTCAGAGACCCTAACAGAGATCAAGTACAGCAATGCAGAGCAGGAACGAAGAGACATCTTCCACTGGCTCTGCGAGCATCATTATGAAGCCCAATTTCAGCGGGCATACCAGCTTTATTGCTCCAACACATGCAACTGGCTCCTCAATGACCCTACATTCCTAGACTGGTCCAAAGCCAGATCTTCTCTGCTCTGGATGCACGGCCAGGCAGGTTCTGGGAAGACCATAGCCACAAGCTACCTCATCCACCACCTGATGGACACAGAAACGGCGGACTGCCTATTGGCTTATTTCTACTACGATGCAAGTACGATTGAAAGTCTGACATCAGAGACCTTCTTTGGTGCCATTGTGAAACAGTTCTGCTCAGGACTCTCACAACTGCCTGGCCAACTTGTTGATACCTATAGGCGAGCTTCAAGTCGTCTCGGGAGCCCCAAGCAACCAAATCTAACAGAGTTAAAGTTGTTTCTGCACCTACTGCTCGAAAGTGCGCATTCAGCAACAATTGTCATTGACGGTCTAGACGAGTCCCCCAATTACTCCGTAGTATGCGACTTTCTGACTTCCACCGTGTCGTCCGGCAGATACCCTCTACGTGTTTTCATAAGCAGTCGACCAGAGGTAGACTTGCGTCGATATCTCGTTAGATTCCCAGACATTCCCGTCCCCGAAGAAGCGACTGAACAGGATATCAGTATATACATCAAGATGAGAATACATACTGATCCACGGCTTCGGCGCATGAGCGAGAAGATGAAGGATTTTGTTGAACTAAGACTGCGAACAGATTCTCATGGGATGTAAGCCATAATTTTCATTACAATCTAGCTTGGCCGATAACACCATTTGCTGACTTCTTGCAGGTTTCGCTGGGTACAATGCCAACTAGACGAAATTTCTAGGCTGAGGACCGATGCTGCTTTGAAGCGAGCGCTCAATCAGCTCCCGCCTAGCATCGAAGACTCATATTTGCGAATCCTCGACAGTATTGCTCATGAAGATATGGCGTTTGCGACACGGACGCTACTGTGGCTTGCGCATGCTTCTACACCGCTGACCCTAACGGAGCTAGCTGAAGCTGTGGTTCTTGAGCCTGACTTTGACGAATTGGATCCGGACTCGAAACTTAATGATCCAAGTGACGTTCTCGAAATCTGCCGCAGCCTGATCGCCTTCAATCCTATTTCACAAACAGTCCGTATTGCCCATCACTCTGTTCGAGAGTTTCTCACTGGGCGACTCGATCAAGTGTCTGAGTTCTATATTCCCGCACAGGCGTCGCACCGCACCATGGCGGAGGCTTGCATTCGCTACCTGCTTCTCGAAGACTTTTCAGCTGGGCCGTTGTTCAGAGCAGATTTCATGTGGACGCTCTCAGCGTTCCCTCTTCTCCGATATGCGGCTCAAAATTGGCCATTTCATGTGCAGATGTCGGGCGCGGAGACCGAGTTCCTTCCTCTCATTCGAAGATTATTGACCACATGTTCAAATCCCAAATTTCTCTTCTGGCTCCAAGTTGTCCTCTTCGACTCGTGGCATGGCTACCTTCACCCCAACACGGACCTGGAAAACGCTAGGCCTCTCTACTATGCTGCATCCTACGGCTTGACAGAGACTGTGAGAAGTCTGGTGCAAGCAGGCGCTGATCTGGACGAACGGGCTGGCAGATATGGCGGTACAGCGCTACACGCTGCCGTGTGGCGGAAGCAGCCAGAAATAATTGACGTTCTTGTGGATGCTGGCGCCGACCCAACCATCACTGACTACAACGGAGCTACACCAGCCGAACTCTCTCTATTCAGCGGGACGAAGTTCTACAAAAATATTTACAGGGAGAAGCGCGCCAAGGGAGGACTGACGCCCTTGGTTGAAAGCGTCCTCCGGTTACGGGAAAAAGAGCTCGCCATGTCCACGGCCATGCCTACCCGGGAGTCCAAGATTGACCAAGATGACGACCCAAAACCAGGCGTTGTCACACTCCGAGTGAACAACGAGACTTTTAACGGATCCCCTGAGCCTTTGGATGAGAAGCATTCGGTCAGTCATAACCCAGCGGAGCTGTATTTGCCGTCTGTACCGACAGGAACCGTCCAGCACTCTGAAGGAACTTGAGCATGGC